GCGGAGCGGGGCGCAAGCGGCGGCCGGGCAGCTTCTCCTCCGCGCTGCCGCAGCTCCCGGCGCCACTCCGCGGACTCTGTTCTATGAGTGCAAAGATGGAGCCTACTTTCTACGAGGATGCCCTGAACGCCAGCTTCGTGCCGCCGGAGAGCGGCGGGTATGGATATAATAACGCTAAAGTGCTGAAGCAGAACATGACGCTGAACCTGTCCGACCCATCCAGCAACCTGAAGCCGCACCTGAGGAACAAGAACGCCGACATCCTCACTTCCCCCGACGTGGGACTCCTGAAACTGGCCTCTCCTGAACTGGAGCGGCTCATCATCCAGTCCAGCAACGGGCTAATCACCACCACGCCGACCCCGACGCAGTTCCTCTGCCCCAAAAACGTTACCGACGAGCAAGAGGGGTTCGCGGAAGGCTTTGTGAGAGCCCTGGCGGAACTGCACAACCAGAACACCCTGCCCAGCGTTACCTCCGCCGCCCAGCCCGTCAGCAGCGGCATGGCACCTGTGTCCTCCATGGCCGGCGGCAGCAGCTTCAACACGAATTTGCACAGCGAGCCCCCGGTGTACGCCAATCTCAGCAACTTCAACCCCAACGCGCTCAACTCCGCGCCCAACTACAACGCGAACAACATGGGCTACGCGCCTCAGCACCACATCAACCCCCAGATGCCGGTGCAGCATCCCAGGCTTCAGGCTCTGAAAGAAGAGCCTCAGACTGTACCTGAAATGCCAGGGGAAACCCCTCCCCTGTCCCCTATTGACATGGAGTCACAGGAGAGAATCAAAGCCGAGAGAAAACGCATGAGAAACAGAATTGCGGCATCCAAATGCCGGAAAAGGAAGTTGGAAAGGATTGCCAGGTTGGAAGAAAAAGTGAAAACTTTGAAAGCCCAGAACTCAGAGCTGGCATCCACTGCCAACATGCTCAGAGAACAGGTTGCACAGCTTAAGCAGAAGGTCATGAACCATGTCAACAGCGGGTGCCAGCTAATGCTAACACAACAGTTGCAAACGTTTTGAAGAGACTGTCTTAAACGAGAACTGTGATCTTGTGGTGTAACTGAAACAAAAAAACCAAAAGTGGCAGATGCATAAAGCTAATGGGAAAAGCTGGAAGGCTGAGTCCTGCCTGTGCTCTGCAAAGCGCATGTGTGGAAAGACTGGCAAGCCTTCAGCTTGAGTTAGTAGTGAAGCGGCCAGCACTGTGCCGAGAAGTGCTGTTCCTGCTCAGATGAGATGTCAGATCTTCGTTTAACATTGACCAAGACCTGCATGGACCTAACATTCGATGATCATTCAGTATTAAAGGTTAAACTGCAATAGAAACTGTAGATTGCTTTATGTAGTATTACTTAAGAAAAAAAAAGTGGGAGGGAGGTTTGTGGGAGGCTGATAAACAAAACAGAACTATTCTGCCTGCCTTCGAGTAAATTGTGTATGTACATATCTTTTTTTATTTTATTTTATGAAAGTTGATTAATGTCAATAAACTACTTCATGACTTTGTAAGTTATTTTTATGTTGTTTATTTGGGCGCTGCCCAGTATTGTTTGTAAATAAGAGGCTTTTTTTTAGCACTCTGAGTTTACCATTTGTAATAAAGTATAATTTTTTAATGTTTCTGTTTCTGGAGAAATTCTAGAAGGTTCTATTATATTTAAGAAAAATAAAATAATTAAAATGCATTTCCCCCTCACACTTTTTTTTTTTTTGCTAGTACCTGAGCTGGGAAAATGCCCTTTGTGCTGAACTCTAGGGTTTATGTTAAACTTACTCATTAACTACAGGCATGTCCTGAAGAATGTGTGAGGAGGAGGAGAGGGAAAAGCTAGATTCTGATCGCTAAATTAATACAACTTTCTGACTTGTCCTGAAGTTGTAGCTCCCAGTCGTAACCTGACTCGCTTGCCTGCTGTATTCTAGTGGCACAGTTTAAAGAGGTTGTAGAGGGGTAGAAAGCCAGTGTATGAAACTGCTCCATAACTGAAGCACTTGGCTACTTGACCTGGTATGCTTTTTTTATTAAACTAATGCCCCCAAGTAGGTAAGGCAAGTGAATGTAGTTAAAAAACCAAACATGCTATAGACCTAAAAAATAGAAACATTCACCTTTATTGGTGTGTTCCTTCCTAGACAGGAGGTGATCCTTGTTTGTTAATATTTACAACAATGCTGCTGTCAACAGGAAAATAATTTCATACCCCTTTTCCTATCCTGAAATCCTTTCCCTTTTGGGTGCTACTATGGGTTATAAACTTTTTAGCAATAGAAAAGCTGGGAAAACTCAACCTAGTGGGAAATGAAGAGCAACTTGCTGAAAAACAGCAACTTCTTTGGCACTCCCCGTGTACTTTTTATAACATAATCTTGGGAATCTTGGGTTTTACTACAATGACAACATAAATATATGCCTTAGAAACATGCTACTTAACTTGGGGGGG